ACACACACTTTTAAGAATTTTCCAATTATGCCTACGATTTTTGACGTTAAAAGAACGCTAATTAGAATATTAGTAATGGAAAATAATTTACCCAATAGAGATAAATTATAAAAAAATTCAAATTATCATCAACGTGCGATTAAACATTTCTGCACCGTTTAAGTAAAAAATCAACTATTTATAAAAAAAATTGATGACAATTTCAAAGGTTGTTGAGAAATGTTTGCAATGAGCAATATAAACCTTCTCATTATAGTGCTATTTGTTATTGTTGTAAATCTTTTTATAATAAACAAATGCCGAATTTGCCCTGTTCTCCATACTGGAAAGTCTAAACGTTTGAGATTCAGAAACCGTTTTAACTTTTTTGTGCTCGTCCTTTGGGTTAATGATAAAAAATATTGTCTAGCGCAGCCCGTGACTAAAGCGCCATAAAGTCACAGTTCTTCAATGTAGGATATTAGTATATTATGTATCAAGTTTTATAAACGCCATTTTAGTTTTATTAGGCACGAGCGAAGCTTGCGAGCGAGTGTTTAATAAAAACGAGTGTCTGGAGAAGTTTATAAAACGAGTTGCATACTATACTTTATCTACGACGAGCACAAAGAAAAATTAAAAGCCAATTTTGTTTAATAAACATTTAACATTTAACGAATTTAACCTCAATTTTTCGCAATTTATAATAAAGCTAACTTCAGCATGTGACTAAAATGCACAAAACTTCAGCCCGTGACTAAAACGCCATAAAGCCACAGCACTTCAATGTAGGATATTAGTATATTATGTATCAAGTTTTATAAACGCCATTTTAGTTACGACTTTTATTAGGCACGAGCGAAGCTTGCGAGCGAGTGTTTAATAAAAACGAGTGTCTGGAGAAGTTTATAAAACGAGTTGCATACTATACTTTATCTACGACGAGCACAAAGAAAAATTAAAAGCCAATTTTATTTGTTAAAAATTTTACATTTGTCAACGGATTTAACCTCAATTTTTTCCAATTTTTAATAAGGCTAACTTCAGCCCATGACTAAAATTTCCAGAAGCCACTGTTGCTTACTCCAGCCCGTGTCTAAAACGCCATAAAGTCACAGCCTATCAATGAAGGAGTAAATAAAAGTATATTAAAGAACTAATGTCATAATACGTCATTTTGTCGCAAGCGGACAATTTATAAAACGAGCCACGAAGGAGCGAGTTTTGTAATGGACGAGTGCGACAAACATCACACAAACATCACGTAATTGATTACATTAGATAGTTATTTAGAAAGTAAAGTGCTCATAAAATATTTTCTTTACTTTCACTGTGAAAAACTGTCAATTTTCAAGAAATAAATTTCGATTTATAACCTTTATAATTGTGTTTATAAAATATAAAAATTTGTCATTTGAAGGTGACACTCAGATTCCCTATTGTTTCATAGATGGCGCTCTATACAAATTTTTTATTTAAATCATTTTAAGATAATAATAAGTATTTGTCGTAGAAAAAGTATAGTATACACCTCGTTTATAAACTTTTCTATACACTCATTAATTTAAGCACTCGCTCGCAAGCTTGCTCGTGTATAAAATGGCGTTTATCAAACTTGATACATAATATACTATTATCTACTCCTACATTGACAAGCTGTGACTTTATGGCGTTTTAGTCACGGGCTGAAGTTAACAACAGTGGCTTTTGGGCATTTTAGTCACGGGCTGAAGTTGGCTTTATTATAAATTGCGAAAAAGTGAGATTAAATTCGTCAAATGTCAAAAATTTATGAATTAAAATTGGCTTTAAATTCTTATTTTTAGTATAGTATGAAACTCGTTTTATAAACTTCTCTAGAGACTCGTTTTTATTAAACACTCGCTCGCAAGCTTCGCTCGTGCCTAATAAAACTCGTAACTAAAATGACGTTTATAAAAATTGATACATAATATACTATTATGTACTCCCCCATTGATAAGCTGTGAATAGCGTTTTAGTCAAGGCCTAAAGTTAGCAACAGAGGCTTTTGGGCATTTTAGTCACGGGCATAACTATAAATTGGGAAAAAGTGAGGTTAAATCCGTTGACAGTTGACAGATGTTTTTAACAAATAACAAATAACAAATCTTTGTGTTCGTCGTAGATAAAGTATAGTATGTAGCTCGTTTTATAAAATTCTCCAGACACTCGTTTTTATTAAACACTCGCTCGCAAGGTTCGCTCTTGCCTAATAAAACTAAAATGGCGTTTATAAAACTTGATACATAATATTCTATATACCTACTTTTAAAATTTTATAAAGACGCATTAAATAGTTTACGACATACTGTAAAATTTATTTACTTTTACAAGATTTTTATATTTTAACCAATAGAAATAAAAATTTGTACCGAATCAAGATTATTCAATGAATAATATTCATATATAAAACTTGTGGTACAATTTCATAATAATGTTAATAATAATATTATTATTTTAAATGGGTTTTAATAGTATATTATGTATCAAGTTTGATAAACGCCATTTTATACACGAATTTAATTTAGGCACGAGCGAGCTTGCGAGCGAGTGCTTAAATTAATGAGTGTATAGAAAAGTTTATAAACGAGGTGCATACTATACTTTTTCTACGAAAAATACCTATTATTATCTTAAAATGATTTAAATCAAAAATTTGTATAGAGCGCCATCTATGAAACAATAGGGGAATCTGTGTGTCACCTTCAAATTTTTATATTTTATAAAGGTTATAAATCGAAATGTATTTCTTGAAAATTGACAGTTTATCACAGTGAAAGTAAAGAAAATGTTTTATGAGCACTTTACAGTGGAGTCCGTGCCCGAATTTAAGTTAGTTTACTGCCGGCGAAATTTAAAGGTCAGAACAATGTTCATATAAACTTTTCAAATATTGGCGTTGAGAAAGTATTTAATACTTTTGTATGTTTGTATTGAGGTAATAAATTAATTTTTACATTTAGTATTATTTACAAGAAAGGCACTTTATTTTAACGATTTTATGACATTTGACAACTGTCAACTAACTTCAGACTAACTTCAGCCCGTGACTAAAAACCTGTTGCTAACTTCAGCCCGTGACTAAAGCCACAACTTGTCAATGTGTATTTAAAAGGTCACTTAGTGTTATGGAAACATGTACGATAAAGGGCGTTTTAAAGGTGGGAGTAGAAAAAATAATTTAAATTTTATCTTTAACAAGACTTTAATCAATTAAACCCTTATAAAATCGCTGCCACTGAGCCAAATGAATTAAAATTATACAGGATCAAGATACCACAAAAATATGGTGTTGAAATTTTATACTGATATATTTATTAGTTTTTTTAACGAATTTTGGCCACTTTAATGCAATTCCAATCTACCGCAGTGGACGAACAGTTCACTCGAGCAATTGCAGCTATAGCATATATGATATAAATTAACAAAAATGACGAATAGCACGATATTTGATTGCTTATTGCACTTATTTCTCAACATCTTCTAAAATTTTTATCAGTTTTTTATAAATAGTTTACGAAGTAATGATTTTTTAATTAAACAGTGCAAAAATGTTTAATCCCACGTTAACAAACGAATTAATTTTCCTCAAAAATATGTACAACGTGATTTTTATTTTTAAGGTCAAAAATCGTAGGCTAATTTTAAAAACTTTTACCATTTGTCAAGTATTTTTGAATAAGAAATTTTTGTGAAAAACTTCTTAAAATTGAAATTAAGGGCTGCAATTTTAACAGAATGTTTACTTTGGCATAATCTAAAAAAATGACAGGCACTGGCTAATAGCCAGCAAATACTTTGTGGTAATTTTGCAAATGATTATAAATAGTGTAGATAAAACTAAACAACACCTACCTACATATATTATCATTTAATTGTTATACAGAAGCATATTTGCAACCTCTTTGATTTGACCAGAATGTTCCTTTGCGTTTTAATATTTCGTAGGACTTTAAAAATCCAAATCCAAATATCAATCAATATGTAGCAGAAGACTTAAAAAAGCATGTTTTGCATATATGCAAACTTGTATACGAAATTGTTGAATCCGTTTCCATTTTATTTATTAAAGTTGTACATGCATGAACAATTGCGCTATATAGTTTTCAATTTGTCAGCAAAATTCTATCACTTAAATAAATCAATTTACTAAAGACAATTTTAATTTATCTATTTCAAAAGAAAAAATGATGAATTAACAAATATTTAATTACGTTACTTTCTTAAACTTAGACAACTTTTAAAAATAAAGTTATTTTTTCCTTTATTTAATTTTGGCGGATACGCCAGTATTAAAAAATCGTTTAAAATTTAAAACCTGTCTGTTGGAATCTCGTATAAATTCTTATCCAATTAAAAAGTCAAAATAAAGAAAATTGAATCAGGATGTTGAAGGAAAGATTGGCGTCTATTAAACATGCCCGTCACGTCTGAAGCAATTAAAGAAAAAGCAATAACTATACACTTTAGAAAAATGCGAAGGGTAGTTAAAATATATATATATATATATTAGGGTGTTTTTTTTGGGACGCTACCGCACTTTGAAATTTGGTATATTAAGAAGACAGATTTTTTTGTTTGATAATGTCAATTATAAAATAGTGGTATATATTACAAAATAATAATTTTTACATTTAATATGATACAAACATGTAATTGTGATACAAATATGATAATGATACTTACAAACATATGATAGTGATACAGACATATGTATATATGAATATATTACACATTAAAATCAAAATCGAAGTATTCTTGCACACCGAAAAATGGGTGCTGAGTAAAAAAATATTTTACCTATTTTTTTAAAAGTTTGATTTTTTTAGTAATTCATTTATTTTATTTTAAACAATTTAACACTAATATTTATTTCTATGCATTATCTAAATAAACAAAAAAACATTTAAACGACACAGTTTTTGCATATTATATATTATAAAATTATTTAAGCAAAGTGGATTTTTTTGAATACCTATAAATACTTTTTTCTATAATTTTTAACCATGCAATAATAATAGGTATTGTTTTTGTTCTTTATTTGTGGTATGTAACTTGTTATGTAATTTATAATCATCATCTTCTTCCCAAACTTCAACATTTTTCTCCAAAAACGTCGATGGAATTCCTGTGATGCTCAAAATTCTAAGGGTTTTGCTGAAAACAAAATCTTCCAGACTTTTGTTTTGAATAACATTGTCATCTAACGTTATACGCTTCATAGGACTCTGATCTATTCCTATGTTTTTCAAGGCATCCACCATCTTCTTCTTTATTTTGAGAGAAACTGCATCATCAAAAAAGCAAACGCAAAGAGCTCTTCTGATATGTACCAGAGGTGGCCAAGATCTTTTTTAAGGACACTTTTAAAATCACTTTATTTAATTCCTTATATGATTTCCAGTCTTTTAGCAACTGCAGAACATTTATAGATGCACAAGACCCAGAAGAAGCTTTAAACCAGTATTTTATATAAATTTTTACTGTAAAGATGCATGCTTTACGAATCCCTGTTTCTTCTTTTTTAGTAAGTTTGATCTAGTCTCTAAATAAATAAATCTTTAACAAGTATATGGCTTTCGCCATCCACCTAACTCGATGAATACCAGCAGGATCTCTACAAGATATTCCCTTATCCGGGATCCCTCCTTGAAATATAATTGCAAGTTTCAAGAGCTCCTTGTAATCATCTCGTGGCTGAAACTTTATGAGCTGATTCTGGTCAAAATCAATTATCTCTGTAGTTATATTGTTTACTTTTTTAGGGTAGAAGCATCTGAAGTAGCATTTTTAAAGTTTGTCTGATTTATTGTGTTCCAGGCTTTCTTAAACCTTTAAAAATCAATATTTCTGGACTTGTTAAAGGTCCAAGTGCTTGAAGAAGCACAGCCTCGAGCATTATTTCCATAACGTGGTGACGACAGGCCAACCACCACATATCCTTCTTCATATTTTGTTCTAGCAAAATGCATGCACCATTCCTTGGTCCATTATTAGTGGCCGTCGTGTCAAAGCTCTTGCATTTTATTTGGTCGTCGAGCCCACACGTTAATAATGTTTCATAAACGGCTGAAGTAGCTGAGTCTCCTGGTTTGCAAGGAAGTTTTGGCACTGCAAGAAGTTGTTGATTATGTATCATAAATGAAGCGAGACAGATTAAAGGAAAAGTAAATTTTAAAGTTTTATAAACCTGGTCCACGAACTTAATGTCTATGATCACTTTAGGCCAAAACATTTGACTTCTTTACAGCTTCTGTTCAGTCCTTGCAACAAATAACTCTTGTTGTGCTCAACATTTTCGGGCATATTCAAATTATCCTTCAAAATTATTTAAACACCGCCCTTAGTTTATCAGCAATCAATCGTGTAGTGGCACTCAATCGGGGACATTTTTTTTACTTTTCATAAAAGGTTTACGGTCTTGGGACGCTCATCTCCCCTTTTTCTTCCACGCACACTCTTCCTTCCCAAAACTAAACAACGTTTTATCGGAGATGCCCTACCATTCCAAATATTTCCATGATTTTTGGAATATTATTCTATAAGGAATTCATTTTTCGTTCGTTCCTCAATTAAACTGCCACGCTTTATCAGATCATGGTCAAATTAGTACCCAATGCTACCAAACACAAAATATACAAAAAGTTAAAAAATAAACGCTTTTTCTTTTTGTTATTATTATAAGAAATTTTATCTTTAATGGGTTGAATATGGCCTTTGCATTTAAACATGATTTAGACCAACCGGGTTCATTATTTTTAAAAATTGGACTACTGTCAGATCAACCTAACCTCACTTTGTACGTTTAATTTATCGATTAATAAATAAATTTGTGCCCTAAAAATAAAATGTTGTATGCCATTCGATGTCTTTTTGTGCTTCGTTCAATTGTAGCCATTCGCTACGCGTTGACTCAGGGCTAAGCACACTTCCTTTTTGACCTAATAACTTATGTTATATATACCTATTTATTAATAAACCCCATTAATAGTCTTCCATCATATTTTCATAAATTGTATTTGATAACTGCTTCGATAGCCATAACGTCTTGAAGGAATTTATATAAATGAGCATACAGGGGCGCCGGAAGGCCTGTGGTGTGTGTTTAGAGCTCAACACACGTGAAGATTCTATGTGTGGAATTCAAAACATGGAATGCAATAATATTTTTTTTAATCTTTAAATTTCACTCAACCCAACCCAACAATATATTTATATATTCTCATTTGGCTGTCCTTTTTAACATGCAGATAATGTTTAAGAGACCCTAGACTTTAGATAAATCAATCAAAAATCGTCCTAATTAAACTATTAGGTTTGGGATACCAAAACGCCATTGTTATGTGGTTAATTAATTACAGAAACTTGTAAGTTAATTAAAAACCGAAGATATGTTGCCACCGTAAATACATACACTCTTTGCATGATTTTAGGCACCCCACCCTTGTAAATGCAAAAATAAGAAAATCACCCTCCTTTTCACAGCAATAAAAGTAATAAAAAATTAAACCCCGTAATCCTGCTTACGTAATACTTAATTGCCTCCTAAACTATGACTCATAGTAAAATGATTGGTTAATTGATTTTCAATCTTAAAATTATTAATTATTAATTTCGTAATGATCAATTACGTATCAAGTATAAGTATGATGATTGTGGGGATAATAAAACTTTTGAGACATACTTTTTACAATTGATTATATACATATAGTGCAACACCGGCCCAACTGTAAAAATGGCATCTATGTTTTTATCTTAAAATATTTCTTGGATGCGCTCATCGGGTGAACCAACCTATTAGGTTGAACCTAATAAAGTGTGTTTTAATACATAGAGTAGTTACTCCTTTGTATATTAACATACTCTTTATTGGGCTTGTTCCCATCCAAGGAATATTTTAAGATAAAAACACAAGATGCCATTTTTTTCAGCTAGGCCAGTGTTGCTCTATATGCCTTAATTGTAAAAAGTATGCATGTCTAGAAAGTTTTATTATCCCCACAATCATCATACTTATACTTATAATATACTTCAATTGTCGCAGGGGTCCGATCGCAGAACATAAGCTTGCGCAAAGCACACCGCGACGTGGCGATGGAGCAAGGTTCTTTTGTCAGCTGGGTGCTTTGCGCAAGCTTATGTTCTGCGACCTGCAACAATTGTAGATCCGACTTTAGACATAATCACATTTCAAGTTTTTACAATAAAATATCTTTAATATAAATGATAAGAAATAATGTACCATAGCGAACCATCAAACAGCCCTTGGAAACAGCACTAAACTAGTTTACAAATTTATAGACGCTTTGCAATCCCCACCACAAATAATAACCCTAATAGTGTAGATTTAACTCTTTTTAGTGTAAAAAAATAGGTACTCGCTTACTGTTAACTTTACTCTAATCCAAAACAATAATACACTAGCAAAAGGAAAATTTTAACGCAAATAGCAGTTGTAAAATACTAATTTATAGTGTAAATGTTTTACCTTTTACAAAGTGTAAATTAACACTAATGCGATTGTATTAGACATTCAAGTAAAAAATATAATATTTTTAGAGTTACTTTATTATTATACTTATATATATATATATATACTATAGAGTTAAATATTTGGTGCCTTTTACACGGAATATCAACTCTAAAATATTTACCAACTACACTAGCTACTTTACTCGATCCATATTTCTTACTGTGTACCTATGGGTTGTCAAATGTCACGATTTTTGTTTTTGTACAAAAATTTTGTTGAAATAAGTTTCTAAAGAATTTTATTGTGTAAAACAAGTAAAACGCAGTGTACTTTTGTCTTAAAGCATTTTCATGTCGCAGACCATTTATTTTTAGTGGACCTGTGTAATTAAATCAAAACAAATATTTATTCTCAAAATAAATTATGTACTCTTGCATACATAAAAAGTAAAAAAAAAACATGCAATCTGGTCAAAAACAAACATCTCAATTCCTAAAAGTTAATTTTTCCTATTTTGATCACGATAAATCGTGATTAAAATACTTGCGTGCTAGGGAGCCCAAGAGAATCTAAAAACACGCTTTTTATTCCAAGAATTGAATGTACACAATTTAAAAACAGTTTTTTCGCTCTCCTAAAAAATCGGATTAGATGGAGAAATTTGTTTTTGACCGGACGCTCCTCATTTAACCTCCTAGATAAACAGCCATTTATAAATTATTTAAAAAATATTTTTCGAGAGCTTTTATAATTCACAAAGAATTTATGAATAAGAAAATGTTGGTCTAATCGATCTAAAAGCATCCCTAGACATTGCCATCTTTGGTACCAATACAAACACAACACATTTAAAATGACAAACGTGTTTAAGTCTTCTGCCGAGAAATTAAAATTCTTTCAAAACTTTTAAAAAGTTTCCAACTATAAAAGCGGATCCGATACATTTTCTCCAAAGTCATTATTTACTGAAACCTAAAACGGTAGAATAATTAGTGCAAAGAATAAAGGAAAAAATTAAGGATCAATTAGACAACACAAACATATCAAATGGCAAAAATATAACGAAACAAGGCGAAATACAATCTTTGGTAAAATATGAGAAGAATTAATTTTTCATTTTGTTGACAATAACATTATTAAAAACAAGTCACCCACTATTTTAAGCATTTTTTAAAGAAAATAAAGGAAATAATACTATTTATTTCCAATTTAAAGAAATAAAAATTAAAAGTTTTATTGTTCGTGTAATTGTGAAAATTCTTTGAATAGCACGGAAAAAAATATCAACTTACATACGAAATGCCTTTTCCTCGGAGTATTCAGCAGGATTGCATTTTTAAAGTTGTACGTTTAAAGTGCAAAATAAATCGAATAACTTAGATTTGTATGTTTTTTTGCTGAGGTTTTTTTTTAGATGTTTTAAAACTAACACACGTGTCCACGTCAGTCCACGTCAGATCAAACAGTGTTGTTCACCACACCAGATTTTTCTCAAATGTTGTGTAGATGATATATAGGCTAGGATTACATTAAATCTTAATTTTGAAGGTTCTACGGTATCTAATTACAGAGAAATTAATTATTGTAGTTTTAAAATTTTTAGCAAGACGCGATTTTTGTTTTCTTATTTTCTTAAATAACTCCTTACATGCACAAGTTATTTAAGTAAAAGTTTGTTTCGAGGGGTAACTTTTTAAGCTAATTAAAAAAATTAATTAAAATTTGTGTTTTTTCTATTGTTTTAGCAAGACGCCACCTGAGAATTAGATTGTTCTATCTCCCAAAATTTAAAGAGGAACAAATAGCAGTTTAAAGTTTAATTTATATACAAATGAAATTTTAAAAAGCTGTTTTTCCGTGTCAGATTTTTGAAAGATAGAATCTCCCAAAACCTAAACACGGAAAAACAGCTTTTTAAAATTTCATTTGTATATAAATTAAACTTTAAACTGCTATTTGTTCCTCTTTAAATTTTGGGAGATAGAACAATCTAATTCTTATGTGGCGAAGAGCAATAATTCAAGCAAATGCAACATTGCAATTATTGCAATGTTGCATTTGCTTGAAAAAAATTAAAAAAAAAATTTCGGCATGTTTGATCAGGAGCACATGTTTTAAATTTTTTATTTGTTATTAAGATGGTAGGTACACTACTACTTTTAGAAAAAAAATCATATTGGCTTTCTACCTAGGAACTGAGAAAAAAAAATTAAAAACTTTCATGGGACTAAATCCGGGCAGTTTTTTTTCATATCCAATAGCTTTATTATACATACAGTTTAACTCATATCATAAAAAAATACATTAATGTAAACATTTTTCTATTTTTAAGAAACCATAATTTATTATAAAACAACTAATATTAAACTTAATAGAAATATAACACAGCTAAAGGAAAAAGTTATTTTGCAGCTGATTTGAACATATTAAATAAAAGAGTAATACTTTTACTCATATCGCTATCAAGAACATATTGTCGTCCAGTGCTACCTTTCACTGAAGGCGCTGGTATCACACACAACACAGGCTCAAAAGGAACGAAGCAACTATCTTCTCTAGATAGCCAGGATAACACATTAGTGTCTGTATGTCTCTGCATAAAATTTATAAGCAAGTCTGTTTCATCAAAATGTCTTTCTTTAATATAGACAATGACAGATGTCATCGTATATTGCAGCTACATAAACTCCCGGTTGCAATTCGTCGATATCTATATTCTTTCCTTGTTTTTTTTCTGACAGTAAGACTCCCGGTTGCAATTCGTCGATATCTATATTCTTTCCTTGTTTTTTTTCTGACAGTAAGACTAACTTTAAATCTTGAATTTGCATCATCTGACGACAATCGATACAGAATCAATTCAGAATTATTTATTGGAACAAACTAACTGCGAGTTCCAGGCACTGTTTTCGTAGTCTGAAAACGAGCTTTCAAGCTTTTGGCGTGTTGCTGAACATCAGCATGGGGCACAAAGAAAAACTTTATGTTATTTATGTTAAAATTAGCCCAGTTAAATAAATCAAGAGGAGTAAGAATGTGGTGTCCAGTGTGGCCTGCAAACTTGCACGAGCTGCAAGTCTTTTTACTGTGCCGCCAATTCCATCACATGGACTTTTTCCATGTGAGGGGCAAAGAAGTTCCATTCAGCACGGACGTTGAAATCTTTTTATGTAAGCATAAATTAATAAAGTTTTTATAGTTTTTATATTGTGCACTTGAACCGTCACTAAAATAATGAATGTATAGTAAATCTGGTAATACTTCTTTAATAAGTTGTATAATTACTTTAAGAAAGTAATGAACTGTGGAAGTAATATGTTCACGTTCATAATAACACACATACTAAAGCATTTTAAAAGTTTTTTACTCCTGAAGTAAATTACGAATGGGTGAAGTGTGGCTTGTATCGTATCCCAATGGAAACCTTGAATGGCATCTTGGCAAACAAAAGAATAATTTTCTGCAAAGTCTAGTAAAACGATTACTTCTGTTTCAGCTGAAATATTTTCTTTAAGATTTCTTAAGTATGATTCTTGAGATTTTGCAGTAAAATGATGTGTTGTTGCTTAACCTGCTGCCTTAGACAACTCTTTCACAAAATCTTCATTAGTTGATGTCATATTCACTAGTTTTGATTTTCCATTGCGGACCCACTGCTTATAGGCAATATTGTCATCAGTTTCCAAATCATTTTTACTAAATATATCCAGCATAAGCTGCTCCAAAGCTTCAGACCCTGGGCAATTTTTACATCTGTAGAGCATACAATTTCTTGAGTCCACAGAACATACTATAGTGGAGAGGATATTTTTGTATTCAATTTTCTTGGGTAATACTGAACTCCACGGGCAGTGACTGTAACGCACCAAGGTGGTCGTGAAGAAGAGAATTTTGACAAACCGATTTTTAGCTGCGGATATCTTTCTTGAAAAGCCAAATGCAGTTCCTTTAAATTTACAAAAAGCAGTCCCTTTTGCATGTGAGTTCTTTTACCAGTTTCCGAATCTCTGACTGACACAAATTCTTTCTTTCTAGGACATATTCTGGAAAATTCATCATCTTCATAGAATTGCCTTACTTTTTTAGATACATCATTGGAAATTGATTTTCCTTTCAGCTTTTCTGGTTCTTCCAAAATACCGTAATCCTTTTTAAGTTTTCTAGCCTAATTGACCATGTATGTTAATACTCCAAATTCATTAGCGGTCTTCTGAATGCTCCAGCTACTCGGTACAAGAGTTAGTAATTTTAGAACTTCTTGTCCACAAGAAATTTTACATTTTTCTTTTAAAAGTTCAATTAGGTAGTTTAAATCTTCACAGCTGATACACTGCTTTTCGTTGGTTTGAGCCAGAGTCTCTAGAGGAACATTTAGCGATGTTGAAAATTTTTCCTGCAATAAAGAAATTGCCTCTGCTGATTTTCTTTTTGCATAACTTAGTCCTTGTTTTTTATTTACACCAAGCAACTTGACAGGTGTGCATCCAAGATTTCAGATACTTTGATTCAAAGCTTCAGTGCCATCTGAATCAAAACATGCCTGTTGTTTACTTTCAGTCTCAAGATCCTCTTTTGTCCTCTCATTGTTCAATGCTTCAGTTTCTGCATCCGAGTTCGACACTGAGGAGATAACTTTTGCCCTGGTTTAAGATTAGTGTGTTTTTTTTGCAAATTCCATTGAAACAGATCTCAAACTTTTCTTAATGCCTCTAATATGTGACTGAAATGGATCACAACAGTATCTTTGAAGTTGCTCATATGTCGAAAGCAACATTTTTTCATGGTGAATACAAATGGTTGTATTATTATCAAGTTGAAATTTCAGACCTAAGTGCAATGATTTCTTTTTGCTCCTCTGTAAAACTATTCCATTAAAATAATCCAGTTTGTCATGAATAACTAGTTACGTGACATTCAGTCTGCAATATCTCACCAAATATGCAATTTGACATTGTTATATGGCTTGTTAGTACCAAAGTTTTATTATCGCACTAAAGAATTAATGATGGATCAACGCAACACTGTTAGTTAATTTAATGTCATGTCATGTTGGTTTTTGATATTTTTTATTTTGTTTATATTTTTGTTACTTAATTTTATACGATATTTGAACAAGTAATTATTGTTATTATTATATAAAAATAATAAAATAATAATAATTATAATACACCGGCGGCGCGCCGTACAATAATGAAAATGTCATTATTATTGTACGCCGGAGCTGAAATGAATAAAATCTCAATCTGTCATTTGAACCTTATCTCCTTTGTCAAGGAGAGTTGTCAAAGATTTCTTGGCCTTGAAACAAAAGTTAAACTTAAGTTTTGTGTCACATGAAAGTACAATACTTTTTTTCTCAGATATTAGGTGGAAAGCCAAGATGATTTTTTCTGGAAGTATTGGTAAACCATCTTAACAACACATAAAAATTTAAAACATGTGATCCTGATCAAACATGCCGCAAAATTGCAATTTCTCATGCAAAAACAATAGAAAATACACAAATTCTGATTACATTTGAAAATTTTAAAGTTCCAATAATTAATTTATCGGTAATTAATTATCAAAGAATCTTCGAAATTGAGATTTGTGGTTATCCTACCTTATGTATCGTCTGCACAAAATTTGAGGAAAATCTGAGTCGGTGTGGTGAACTTTTCTATTATTGTGTTTGATTTGACGTGGACTCACTACTTGTAGTTAAAGTTATAATTTATAATATAACCTAAGGCAACAAAAATAAATAATAAATATTAAATTGTCAATAACCTTCTCGTCAACCTGACATGTAAGTTGGTCATTCTGTTCGCTGTTATGTAATGAAGGTAGTGCATAATGAACAGTTGTGCTATAGCACATTCTATAGAATCGTACAAGTTTTGAATACGGCATATTATATAGATGAGGTTGCCAAGAAATTTGGCAAGCACATCTATCTTTTAAGGAATCTTGCAAACTCAGGCTCAAGTAATGTTCTCAAGACAGCCTATTTTTAATTGGGTCACTTTCTTTTGTCCTATGCCATATTGGTGTGGGGGCAAGCTGGGGGCTGGAAAAGATTGTTTTTCCTACAACGTAAGGCTGTGAGAATAGTTGACAAACTAAAATATTCTGAGAACTGTAGAGCCAAGTTTTCAGAACTAGGTATCCTTACTTTTGTTAAATATTTATATATATATATATATATATATATACTTGTTTGTTGGTTTTTATTATTCTACAGTAATATACCTTTTTTGTAAAGTAATGTAACATATGTGATATACCTTTTTATATATAAATTATTAATTAAATATTTATGCTGTTATTTTTTATTTTGACAAATGTAAATACTTTTGTATAGTAACATGAATAAAATTATTATTATTATTATTATAATAAATGTATAATCATATAATTTATTATGATATGATGTATTAATAAATTTCACAACTGCCTTTTATCTTGGGATTTTAATATTAATTTTGCTTTAAACAGGGGTCGGTCATCAATTAGTTTTATTGAATGTCAGAATTATCAGATTATAATTATCAGATTGTTTCGGCCCAGACCACTGCCAAATTTCTTATTTAAAAAAATAAGAAGTAAATTGAATTAAAAGGGGTATTAAATTTAATATTTAACTACGGTTTCGCGGGATCGAACGGTCGATTTGCAAGGGTTCAAGAAATCGATTGAAACTTTTTTACCTTATTTCTACATCTAAATGCAATACTTAAAAAAAAAAATCTCGTCCGTTGACAATTTTGTTTTTATTTTTTTCTTCACTGTGTTAAAAATGAAGAAATTTCATTTTTATAAATAACTTTTTTATTTAAAAACCTATCGATTTAAAATTTGGACAAAATGTAGATCTTACTAATGACACTTAATCCAGGAAAAAAATTGTTTAGATTATAACGTACAGGGGGCGCTGATGATAATTTAGTTTAAAATTTTACAATTTTTAAAGGGTAAATAATCGAAGAAGCAGCTTTGTTTTATAAATTTGTGTATAACACGTTAAAGTATTGATATTTGACTATTATTTGATATATTAACTTTTTTATGCAAATGATGTTTCTGTGGCCAGTCAGTTTTGAATTAGCAGTAGCAGTATTCATAAATGTTTAGTTTAGTACATTTTTTTATTTTTATACAAATATTGTTGTATCTTTTATTAATAATTAAGTATAGCATAACACATAAATGACGTTTAATATACAGGGTATTTCACGTACGTACTCGGTTAGAAGTTTCTAGGGAATCGCGAAAGATATCGATTTAAAATTTTAATAGCGTAAATTATTCGCTTTAGACTTTTTTCCTAAATTTCTTTGAACAAAATAATAGTTCCTGTTTTACCGGAATACCTCATATATTTTTACATTTTTTAATTCTACATAAAATCCTAAAGTCAATATTTCTTTAGTTATTAATTTTTTAATCCAATATTTTAATTATTTTTAAACAATGACATTTTTGGTGGTAACTATGGATACTGTCACATTAAACCACATGTAAAATTTCACACGTTTGTTGATACAAAATAGTATTTAAAATATTAGAAATTGTTAAATGTCGCTGAAATTTTAACTTTAGGAAAGAGATATTATAATACCAATCAAAAGGTTCTTTAATGTTCTATTTAATTATGTTAAAACATACAGGGTTTTACATTTATAATAAAAACGTTATTATTGTTTGAAGTTTGCCTAATTTCAAGTGGTTTTTCTCAAGGTATTTGTTGAAAATCCTTAAAAAAATTAAATTATTTAAACAATTCCAACCCCATGTCAGCCAACCTAATAACAAAAAAAATAGAGGCTATTTTTGATTAACGTGCATTTAGCAAAATTTTAATGAAAAAAATTCATATCTTGAAAACTATTGACTTTAGGTATAGTATAAATCAAATTATATATGCTATTAAAATTTCAAATCCATATCGTTTGTGTTTCTCTTGAAACACCCTGTATAGCATTATAATAAATATACAAAAATGCAAAATAACTAATTACAAAAAATCGAAAAACCACTGAATAAAAATATAGATATATATATCTAAATAGCCGATTGCAACATAAAAAATAAAGTCTTTATTCTAATTTATTTATTGGGTAAATATTACTTTCCTCAGTTTGGAATTAAAATTAAAGCTTGCTTATCAAGCAAAAAATAAAATTAAAGTAGGTTATAATTTCTAACTTGCTGACACTCTCTATAATTATTATTTAGTTCATTCATTTTAATAAATTAATGTTTTAGGTTTATAGTACACTTATAAATTGAAACGCAATCAGTCATTTGCAACTTATAAACTGAACTGACAAATTATGGTAAGGGTAATGGTAAGTTACCAAAGAGAAAAGTCTGTGATGCCAAATATGATCAAAATTAGTAAACTTGAAAAAATTTAAAATTTATAAATAAAACTAATTTTAGCTCCATCTATGGCAATTTTTTTTAAATAAATATAATAATATATATATATATATATAATTTTTAATATGTAATATATAATACATTATCTTATAAAACTAGATAAAAGAATTTATAATTTGTAAAACACGTTAGTATTATGCTCTTTGAAGGCCTAACTTAAAAATGGTGTCTCCTAGAAACATAACTTGCATGTAGAAGTTTATATATCAAATAATAGTTAATTATCAGTACTTTAACGTGATATATATATGAGTATACTCAAAATTATAAAACAACGTTGCTTCTTCGACTTTTTAACCCTTAAAAAATGGTAAAATTTTAAATTAAATTGTCCCTGTAT